TGGCCATATCATCATCAAGACCATTGCCTGTATCATCATCAGGAGTTTTGGTGGTTTTAATTAAATATTTTAACATAATTGATAATATCACAAGAAAAGCATGAATTATTTATGATATTTTAGTTCATGACGGCAAGCAAAAAAAAATGTATTTCCACTTTGCTAACTATCGACCTTCAAATTTCCTTACAATCTTCTTGACTTTTCTTGACTTCAAAAAAATTATTTTAAAGACTAAATCTGGACAGTTGTTTCAATGTGGAAACACTATTCAAAATGGCGACTCGCGAATTCAACCATGAGTGGACTACATAAATACAACGTTATGACGAATGCTAGACTTGTGTTACAGCACTATTTAATGAAAAAAATGTGGGGAGACCACTAAAACATTAACTGCTATCCCGATTTTTTAAAAAATGTGGTATCCCAACGGGATACAAGTAAAATAAACTTAGTATCCAAAACCAAATTTCAGTATCCCGTGGATATCGGGATACCGCAAATTTCAGACCCTGGTACGGTATTTGAATAATAGTTGACATGTATTGTAGATGGAAATTATTGAGTGGAAATTTATATACATTTATTAGACTTAACCAGGAACAGCTCTGAATCAAAGGCCGTTGAGGCCGACTCACGGATGAGATCAAATGAAAGTGACAGTTTGCAGTTGTTTTTACAAACAGACACTGTGCGAATTTTACCAAATCAGAAGAACAAATGTGTGCTCCACATGGTCTTAGCTAGGATTTCAGATCTTGGGCGTGTTTCTAATGACCAGGGTGTGCACATGTGAATTACCTTGAATAGCAAAATCACGGTTCTAGTTATGCTCGCCAACAACAATGCCTGTGGTTGTTCTACGCTTTACAACCAAATACAAGGCGAGCATACGCTCATACTGCGCACTGACATTAAGTTATTTCAGCAACTCTTGGGGGTATTTAAAAACCGTTTTAACACCATGCAGTTCCCATTATCCATCAAAACATTAAAACGTCACAGATCACTTTTGCCAATTCAACAACAACAGTAGATTTTACAAACTTTTTTACGACGTGAATAGGAAGAAATTCTGTCCGTTGTAAGTAGCACCACCTTATTCTATGAAATACACGGCCTTATATGAAAAGTGAAGCCGCGTTCATCTTATCTAGCCGTGTTTTCCCACTTTTGGCCGCGATAACACGGCCAACACGGCCCTCTAGCTAAGACCCTGGTGCTCCAGCCCGGTTCTGAAAGGCTGGTCATCTGTGAGTCAAAAAATGCAACTTTATGTCCCTGGCTGGAATTGAAACTGTGGTCCTGCAATTCCAGTGTGCACAGCGCTCTAACCAACTGAGCTACAGAGGCCAGTTGGTGAGCTCTAACCAACTGAGCTACAGAGGCCAGTTGGTGAGCTCTAACCACAAGTGCATGTATACAGTATGTACTAGGGTACTGCCATATATATAAAGAAGTTGGCGTTTACTTGCCAAAATGAAGGAAAGTAGCACTAGAAAAAGCAAGCGTTATTAGGGATTTGTCAGTCACTGGAAACACTAATATTTGCCGATACAGGTTGTTGTTATCGGCCAATAACTGACAATAAACCTGAAAGTTGCCCATTATCAGCTTCTACCAATAAAAATGCCAGCTGACTATAGGCTTGTGCCTAAAATTTACTGCAGCAATGTATTAGCATAATCATATTTGCATTTATAAGCATGTTTTCCTGTTTACAGCCGCCAAAGCTAAATCAACGAGACGAGGTGTAAGAGAGGTGACAAAAGCACTTCGGAAGGGTGAAAAAGGGTAAGCATTAGTTTTGTAAAAATAAAAAGAAAATATATCCATGACCTTTATCTAGTTCTATGTCAAGGCTCCTCCTTCACAATGTTAAGAAACAAAAACAGTAACCTTCCAAAACAGTTTTGAACCTCAATTTTTGAAGCCCTTTTAAATAATGGGGTCCCCTATAAGCTAGTTAAGAACCTAGACCACTGCCCTGCACACAGTCGCGTAAGTGAGTAAACTAACTGCCATGACTGAGTGCCTTTAATAAGGAGAGTGGCAAAGGTTTTTGCCGAAATGTGGAATGACAGGTTTTTTGTTGTGAAATGTGATTTACATGGTTAGCCGTGAGCCAGACTGGGTAACTTCTGTCCGTGCAAGAAATGAGAATTTATTTGAGGCCAGTATGACAAAGTAGTGAGAGAAGTGTGAATGTGAAGAAGAGCAATGCTGCAGATGTAACAATTTTACAGCATACATGTATTTCCTTCATTTTTTTACTATAAAATATTGATTGGTTTTAAAAAAGTCATGTACCCAATGATGAGCTTTCAGACTTTCAATGGTGAAATATTTTTCAAAACGTAGAAATAGGCTGACGGTTTAAGAAAGGCGTAAAATACCCGAGACAGAAAACAAAATCCACACATCTAAAAACGTTTTTCAAAATAGTTCTTTACATGTGAAACGTGAAATCAATGGCAGGCTGATCTAAATTGTCCTTTTACTAGCCTCTTTAAGAAGAAGTACATTGTTGACCTTTGCTATGTGATCAATGTTTTAGTAGCAGTTGTACTGTAGTGTTCTGTATAGTGTACATGTATGTTCAAAGAGGCTGAGGAATCTTCTATATGTATATAGTTATTTCAGTTATGTTTGGATCAGTTTCTCTTAGATATAAAAAACCTCTCTGTTTAGAATTGTTGTTTTGGCTGGTGATGTCACCCCTATTGATGTGTATTCACATCTACCAGTCATGTGTGAAGACAGAAATTTACCATATTGTTATGTACCATCAAGATTGGTAAGTCAATAATATATCATTTAAGCACCCTGCACCAGTACAAGGCAGCCGAAGACCCTTAAATCCCAGCATTTGTAAGTAAACATCTTTATAGGCTTAAATTGTGATAATATTGATTATTGATTTGATGATCCATCTTTGGTTCAAAAATACAATGGATTTACAACAATGACAAATTGCATGCAATTATACCAGAAATTTATATATGTACAATTTTGTAAAATATTACATATCTAGAAATTTATAAAAAATTATAAAAGGTTTGTAAGCTAATTTAAGTTTTGTGCAGTCCCTTGTCTCATCACTTGGGGTAAAACTGTTTCTGTGTTCTTCTGTACCAGAAAACAGGGTCTTAGCTACAGGGCCGTGTTGGCCGTGTTATCGCGGCCAAAATTGGAAAAACACGGCTAGATAAAATGAACGCGGCTTCATTATCTTATATGAGGCCGCGTAGGTTCACGGTAAAATAAGGTGGTGCTACAGTACTTACAACAGACAGAATTTCTTCCAATATACGTCGTAAGAAAGTTTGTAAAATCTACTGTTGTTGTTGAAATTGGCAAAAGTGATCCGTGATGTTTTGATGGATAATGGGAACTGTATGGTGTTAAAATGGTTTTAAATACCCCCAAGAGTTGCTGAACTTAATATTCTAATGTCAGTGCGCAATATGAGCGTATGCACGCCTTGTAATTGGTTGCAAAGCATAAAACAACCACAGGCATTGTCTGTTTTTGGCAAGCATAACTAGAACCGTGAACTTGGCTATGCAAGGTAATTGCATGTGCACACCCTGGCCATTAGAAACACGCCCAAGATCTAAAATCCTAGCTAAGACCCTGCCAGAAAATATGTATTTATTAATTGACCAATAAACATGCACACACCTCAAATATGGGAAACCCTGAGAAGTACCAAACCGTAGTATATTAAGACTACTGTACGTTCACACAACACCGAACGCAATAAATGTCGGTGCGAAATATGAGCGTATGCTCGCCTTGTATTTGGTTGCAAAGCATTGAACAACCGCACCCATTGTATATTGTTGGAGAGCGTGGTTTTGGCTATTCAGGGTAATTGGCATGTTCAAACCCTGGAAATTTAGAAACATGCTCAAGATCTTAAATCCTAGCTAAGACCTGGTCAGTATACTGTACCTCCATTACTACATGAACACTTTTCACTTATTTTGGTCCAGAATTTCGTCGTACTATACTAGTTCATGACAATTGGAACACAATATATCAGTAATGTATCCGTTTTATTGCATGGTTACAATTATTTCCCTATGTAGGATCTGGGTGTGGCTGTTAATTCAAAGAGACCCACTTGTGCTGTGATGATCCGATGTCATGACGATATTAAAGATAAATACGAGAAGTGCTTTACTGAAGTAAAATCGTTACCATTGCCTTTTTAAAATGCTGACATAAACGAATGAAATGAATATGTAAATATTTCTTTTACTGTCATTTGCAATCAAATGCGCCGCGCGCCGAATTATTGAGTTCTTTGCTAGCAGTCAAAGTCACCTTCACCTCTTCTCAAACGTTTTGTTGGGTAATGTCAAATTTAATTTATTTTAATTTGAAACAATCTTTTGTGAGGAAGCCTTATCATGAAAGATGGTTTTCATAAGGGTACTCAAATAAGAAGGAAATAATTATTTACATAAAATACTAACTATAATTATTGCTATCTTTACTCCAAACAGTATACAGCATGCAACAAGATTACGAAAAAATTAATAATTAATTAGAAATCCCAAGAAAATTCAAAAAGTTAGTTAAATGGTTAATTAAGTCCACACTTAAAACACTAAGATAACAAGTTATTCATAACATACTGAGTCTGAGACATGGTTGTTGGACTAAAAGCTAAAAAGCTACTAGAATCTTTAACAAATGGCGGACGATTATTCCATTCATTAAAAAACATATAGTGCGATGTTTGTTGTCCCCAATTGGTTCTACGAAGCGGGAGTCTTATTAACTGTATCATGACAGTGTAAATCACTTCCTTTAGTTTCTTCCATGATTAATGTCAACATTATTTGTTTTTCATTATTATCAAAGTTTGACTGTAGTACTGTAAGTCAACGTTTAATATCATATTTTTGACAATAAATATGCAAATGAAAATTCTATGCATGTAACAAAGAGTGTAACGAATGTACTTACATCAAGCTATTAATCAGGTTTAAAATAAGCATGCGTGGACTATTGTCGAATGTAAATAAAGAAAACTGTGACAAACGTGTTCCTGCATTTATTTCTTCCAAACTGGACTACTGTATAACCGTATTCTTGTGCAGGGCCTTCCTGATAAAGAAATAAATAAGGTATAACAGAACTTTCAACGTCATATAAGCCTGCGCGTTCATCGAGGTCAGAAAATCAACACTTATTTTCGATCCCCAAATCAAAGAAAAAGAACTACGGAGACGGGGCATTTGCTGTCGTATGTGCTGAGCTTTGGAACTCTCTGCCAGTTTCTACTCGCACAGCAAATTCTTTACGCACTTTTAAATCATTATTGAAAACTTACCTTTTTAATTTAAGAAACATTTTTAGCGAATATATACAAATCTTAAATTATAGTATTTAGAACTGTTTATAAACACATATATTTAGAATAATTTTTCTTGTAGATATATTGAGATGTATGTAAAGAATTGAAACTTTGTACAATGCCATAAGAATAACATTATAACTTACAGTAATATTGATTTGTTGGTGGATACTATCTGAACTATTGACTATTGCAATTCTTACAAATATTTTTCGTTTAATGCTATTGAATTGCTTTAAAGTTCAATTCAATGGTTAATTCAATGGTAAATTCAATTCAATGGTTAATTTATGTTTGGTTTTACCTTGAAACACAAATAAGAAAAGTTCTCTCCAAAAAAATTCAAAAAATTTTGATTGAGCTAAAACAAACGAGAGGCGCATGGCAAATGTAATAATATTCGGGTAAAATAACAATACTACAATACATCTTTTTGACTGACCTAAGGGACGGACCATTAGAAAAGTGATTGGGGTTTAAGAGGCAATATTTTTTTTTGTACACCTATAGAAGAAATATATTTTTTTCTCACTTGATGGTTGGAAATATTTTTTTTTTAAAGGGGCCCTACAGTAATTTTTTAGTCAAGCAAGTATTGTTTACATTTTTTTGTTATTGTCGCTACTTGACATGCGCACCACAGTATGCATGCGTTTTCTGGTGTGCAAAAGTACTCGTACTCATGGATACTGCATGTAAGATACAGCCAAACGAATCTCCGTGGAGTCCCCTACTTAAGGTGGCTTTCGACAGTAGGGCCCCTTACTGCCGAAATTTATAGGCCTATTAGTGGTGTAGTCCTGGAATGTTAACAAGGGGGGGGGGCTCTCCAAAGTGTCCTGAATTGGCGGGAGGGGAGGGGAGGTACAATAAGATATTTTGGAAATTCTAAATTTTGTTGGGGTTTATTCTAGTAATTCTGGGACAAACATTTGACGTTATTCTTATTAAAAACAAGCCGAAGCGAGGGCCGAAGGCCCGAGGAAATTTTTAAATTTAGAGTCCCTGAAATGCCATTTCCTGGACTTTGGGGGAAGATTTGACAGAATTCTGATGGTCAGAAAACAGCGTTTTAGTATGTTGAAATTTACAATTTAGTGGTACTAAATGATATAAAGATTACAAAAATGGCGATATAAAGATTACAAAAATCATTATTGTGTTAAATGATGAGTGAAAACGAGATGCAATTCTAAAGAACATTCTCGTTTACTGATATTTTTGTGTGTGTTTTTGACGTTGTTATTAAAGATTATGCAACGTGCCAAAATAAAGGAGGGCTCAGCACGCTGGTCATATTCAGCAAATTTTCTCCCAGGACCGCAGGCTCATATTGTCAGTGAACTTGCGGTGTAAAATTGAAACTTTTGCATTTTTCAGAGAACTGGCCACTTTCTGTAAGATGTCCGCTGTCAATACGAACCCGCACGAGTGGGAGAAATTTTGCTAAATTTGACCAACGTGCAGCCCCCAAGTCAACATGAAATTTCAACAAGGGGGCTCAGCCCCCCTGATCCCTCCCTCCAGTACACCACTTGGCCTATCTTCTAAGCAAGGAATTTTTTTTTGCACTATGCCTGGAAAGATTTTTTTTTTCTTAATTTTTTTCTGGGAATAATTTTTTTTTTTGGTTTTGCCCCACCCACCCCCATCACTTTTCTAATGGTCCGTCCCT